CCCCAAAACCCCAAAACCCCAAAACCCCGTTATATATTCATTAAAAGTGCTATCATAAGAATTAAAATAGTTAAAATAAATGAGAGGAACATCTTATTATACAAAAAATATAACAGAAGTACAGGAGAACTTAAAGTAATTATATTGCATTGATGCCACCTTATTTTTCGATATATTATATTCGTTGGCTAATTTGAAAATTTAGAAAGTTTGTGACGCATCAATAAACCTTGCTCAAGATCTGAGAGGGAAAGTTCTATTCGAGAAAATAAGATTCTATTGGAAATAACTTTGCCGATTTAAGCTTTGAGTTACAAAAATAGCAAGTTAGATGAAAATGACAGACATCAAGTACAGGTTCAAGTCAAGAAAACCCTCCTTTAATGAGCCTCAGTCAATCTATCACTGCTTCTTAAAGGAATGGAAAACAGCTAGGTAGATCTCCTACTGAGCGCTCTGAGGAAATAATGAATACCCCAATTAAATCAAGGTTAAGAAAAAGAAATGAGACTAGTGAGAATTCAGAGCATAAAGAAAAAAGATTATCTACTCATTAAAGAGACGAAATACGAAGAGTAGCTATAGAAAATGAAAGACTCATTTAAAACATCTTAAACACAAAATCTAAACTTAATAAATCTTAAATCGAGCATGAATGGTGGAATAAGGTGCAGGGATATTCTAATCAACTCAAGAAAAACCATTTCTAGATAAAGTATCAGCCCAATTTAAATCGAACTCTAAATGACTTTGAAAACACTGCCAACCATAATTCAACAACTACAAAATCAAGTGGGTCGTATAAATACTAAATTCCTCTTCAAACTGTAATTGAATAAGCTCCCAAATCAAACAAAGGAAATATGCCGAAATTCAATAAGTTTGCAGTGTACACTCAAAAGAGGGGATCAATGCATAGTAAAACAGTCTTGGATCATTCTAACATTCTTCCAGTTTTGAAAAGCAATAGGATTGCGGATAACTAATAAGTTGTTCATACAGTTAATTGAGAAATCAAAGAAAGATGCTTATGAAATTAATTTGGATTATGAATTAAATGTAAATTTTAATTGAAGATTAATAACACTTATCATGCTCTAGAATTAATCATCTTCTTTTTCTCTAATTAGGTCTGCCTGATGGAGCCTTTGTAGGAGCTTTGTGAGCTGTCTGCTTAGCATTATTTTGCTATTATCCCTAGCCTCCTTGATTTGTCACAATCTAGGCTGGACTTTGGACTGAAGCCTTATCATTCTGCTACTGCTAAGGCTGAATTCTCTAAACTGCATTTTAGGTCTAAGTACTATTTCCTTAGAATAAACCTAACTTCTAAGCAAGCTCCTGTTCTGAAACACCATTTAAGCCACCTTTAAGATTAAGGATTTTTTTGGTTTCCTCATTAAGCTATTGATTCAACTATTACAGCAAAATCTGCTGGAATTTCTAACTGGCTTCCTCTTTAGACATTCCATAGAATTCATGGCCACTCTCGCTTAACTATTAGAAAGCATCATATTTCTTATCGACAGTCTTCTTAATGTACTCCAGAAGAGAAGCGTCGTGATTATTATCTGATGACTCATAGTCATCTTCGTCCAACTCATCTTAACCTGCTTCCTCAACATCTTGATCCTCCTCTGACTCCTAAATAGGGTATTAGGCACTAAATCTGGCATTATTTCTCTAAGTCAATAATAATTGTTTATGTCTCAAGCACTCCTCATGCTCTTCTCTTCTTTTTCTAAGCTCTTCTTCTATGTAAGCTTTTCTCTTTTTGATCTCTTCCTTGGTCATCTTGTTTGCTAATTAAGCATTTGATGCTTCAAGCTCCTAAAGTAATTAGGTCGCTGAAGTATTTTTAAGAAGAAGTCTTAATCTTTCCTCATCAGTTAAATCAGTTGCCTAAGGCATCTTTAGTTTTAAGATCTAGGAAGCACTTATGGTACTTTGATAGTATAAAAAGGGGTTTCCTGACCTGTTATTTTTTAAGGCATCAGGACTTTCATAGGTGTAGTATAAACTTAGTGATGTAACAAATATAAATAGGCAGAATACATCATCATAAGTGAATAATAAGTTTCTCTTCAGTAACATGGCTGCTGAGTGAATGATCACAATAAAGAATGGTATGATCTTTTAGAAGAAGTACTGCTGCTTGTCAGTGCTTGTTCTGCCCACGAATTAGCTGAAGGCCAAAAATGAAACAGTAAATAAAGCTAGAACTCTTGGGGAATTTGTAAACATTTCTAGATTATCAAGAGTATTTATTGAAAAAGAGGTCATTCTGACAAATAATACTCCTTGATGTAGCATTATGAGCTTTACAAAAGTCATGAATAAAATGAAGAGAATCACACATAGATGATAAAATTCAAGCGATGATCTCCAAGTGAGACCATGGACTTAAATTAAGGATTGTGAAACAATTCCTCCCAATTCTTATTATCTGCCATCAATTTCAGTTGTTTATTGACTATTTGCTAATTAATTTGGAGGTAATCCTTATTCAATTCTTCTTTAATTTTCCATTTTAGACTATAGTTATTCTAAATATGACTCAACTTCTTCTCAGCCTTGCAGTTCATGAAATCTAAACAGAAGAGAGAAGAAGTAAAATAAGCAGATTAGAAAAAGTAACAAATGCAAAACCTCTGGAATATAGTTTGTGCTGTGATCTATTGGGGAAATTCCAATTAATAATGACTTTGCATAGGGCTTTTTGTCATTTTAAAAAATGTTTAAGTCCAGATAAAGCTATATTGTACTGAAAAACCAAAACAAAGCCAGAGTTTTTGGAAGCTTTTTCTTCATATTCTCACTCAATTTTGTAAATCTCAGAATTACTATGAACACCGAAATCATAAAGAGAAGACTGATGATTGATTTGCTTTTTAGCTGCATATTAAGTGATACAATATCTTTGTAGTCAATCTACTGATTATAGATATTGGAGCTATTAGTAGACTTAAAATTACCTTGATTCTGCTAATCTCTCATTGATTAATGATCCTAGCTGTATTAAGGGCTGCCAAGAGCTAATGGTAGGTTGAGCGCAATACTGAATAACTTAGCTAGGCTCAACGGCAAAGGACTGTCACCTTTTAAGGGACTCAAGATGTTTAAGAATTGGTTAGCTTGAATCTCGTATGCCATTGTAAAGTTGAGGTTGAGTTTGAAGTAGTCCATGAGTGAGGGTAGAGGGCATTTAAATGTGAAAAAGTTTTGAGCTTAATAGTGCATTAGTTTGTCGTACATGAGATAAGATTGATCAATATCGTAAGAGTAGGAATGGAAATAATCCTCATCGAATTTCTTGTCAGATATTTATCCAAAGTCCAAATTATTTTCCCCACTACTGGGAAATATCAATTAATCCATTTACTTTCCAATCAATAATTAATAAAATAGTTAAAGGTTTAAATTTAAATAAAAAAATGAGCAGCTTGATGAATAAATCAAACAAGCATCACTAGCATTCAGGATCAATTTAGACTCATGTGATAAATCTAAACGAGCGTGCGGCTTTGCACTCAGGCAAGCAGAGTTTTGCTAGTCCGACTGCCAACATCAACATTTAGGGCTTTAGCACTAACTACACAGATGAAAATCAATCTCAAAATACCTAAAATGAAAAATACCATGACTGCATTTATTGAAGATCCTATGAAGACGAACATAACCTCAGAATTTAAGCAGATAATCAGCTTTTTAACTGCCTCAAGGTAAGTACCTTATTCTCTTATATTAATCAACGTGATTACAGAAACTGGAAAACGAGAGAGATATGAAGGCTCAACTATAAAGTGAGATGAATATGATTAAGGAGAGAATGCAGTACTTAGAATAAAGAAATACGTACTTAGAAGGGGAAATCAAATAATAAAACTCTGCTTCAAAACGAATCACATGTACGTAACTTTCATAAATTATTTATTATATTTTTAGTCTGTGCTGGAATATCGCATATTCAGGAGGCAAGTAGCATTGGGCAAATGTTTTCACCTGACGATAATAAAAAAGAGGATCGAAGTATGAGTCCAACTAGAAATCTCTTCAATACGAATTTGAATACCCTGATATTAGATTAGAAATCACCCTAGCAGATCCCAGTTTACGAGGCCAAGAATATGTATGTAGCTCCACCAAATAATGTGCACTAACTCATTCATGTGAATCAAAAAAATCTTTCAATCTCAAACCATAGTAACTCGATTGAAGAAGATGACGATTCTAAATAAAACATCTAAATACAAATCCTTAAGCAGCCTTTAAGCAACCTCAGATTTTCAAATGAAAACTTTAAGCATATGAGCACAATTGATACAAAGAGGACTCAGGTTTCTATAGATACCAGAGATCAATTTAGAATAGACATGAGTGACAACATATCAACTGGCCAGAACACTCATAGGTCAAGATAAAACACTACAAACTTGAAGCGAGGCCAAAGTAATTAATACTCTGGACTATCGATCGACTACAGAGACAATGATCCTCAGCAATACAATGTCTTAGATCAGCCTTAGGAGAAAAGAGAGAGAAGAAATAATGCTTTGAGGAAGTTCAAGAGTGGGGATCAGCAGTTCTTTGAAGTTTTCAATAATACCGACACAATGGCTTCGCAATAAAATATAGAGCCAATGAGATAGGATTATAACTAAATGGCACAGGAGGAGAATGACTACTATAATAATTAGGTGTAAGATGAAAATATTGTGAGAATCCTGAGAGGGAACAGACAGTATAATTTGGGGTTTAGCAGACTTCAAATCAGGACTATTGATGAGCATATTGGAATGCAAGCTATCAAATTAAAGTATGATCCAATCAGAGTGGCTTAGCAAAGCTACAGATAATAATAGAAGAGCTTATCTAATAAGAGAAAACAGGAAAGAGAAACAGCAAAGAGTATGCAGTTCAATGAAAATGTGAAAGCAGGTTAACTTCATTAACTCTAGCCTTCACAGATGCTGAGGAAGGAGACTTAGGATAAAAGACATCACTAGTACTTCAATAAGCTAAGCATGAATGACTTCGATTAGTTTGTCGATGGAGATGTGATTATTGAAGATGAGGATTCCAAGGATTGCCAAGATGGAGGCAACACTCCATTCTAAAACTACGATGAGACGGTAAGGAGGCCCTAGGTGATGTTTCAAAATCATGAGATCATGATGTATCACAGTCCTAAACAGCACAGAGGTCAATCTAAAGAGGAACACAGCATGCCATCTTGCTTCGAAGAGGATGATTATATTTAGCAAACGACTAGGATCATGGAGGATCAGACTTTTACTTAGCAGCACATGCTCTTAGAAACACCTTCTAATAAACCCAATCAGCTGAAAGTAGGGTAGCACTCTAATGAGATCTATAGAGCAGCGCAGTACAGTAATGAGCATAAGATGCAGATGGAGAGAAGCATAGTAAATTACTCTCATGTTAAAAGTAAAAGATCTAAGCAAAAAGTAACTGATACTACTAGTTAGTTTAAGAAGAAGCAAATGATTGAGGAATCAGATGATGAGCAGGATGGATCTGGCACTCCTTACGAATCAAAGGATAAAAGCACTAGTTTCGCACATAATTAACTTATCAAAAACCCCTGCTATGACAGAGTTACTCTGGCTTCTAAAAATCAAATTGATCTTAAAAACTAACTCAGAATGGGTGGGCAAACTATTGGACCTAGAAACGATAGGATCCATGGAGCATACTAAGGTTAAAAATCTTTGGCAAGTATAGACGATACACGGAGGCTGTTCCAAAATGCAAATACTGATCCATTTTCTGATGTTTCAGGGATGTCTGGACTGCAGAGTTCAGGCTTTTACGAATAAAGTACAATATAAGATGTGGTAGCGAGATCAATTGATTCTTTTGACAGATTTAAAAAGCAAACTTAGATTAAAAACTTCAATTCTCCACATCAAAATATAAGAAGTACTAATAATCTGCTAAAACAAAATAGTAGATTTGAGTCCCCAGGAAATGGTAAGGTAGCTAATGTGGAACGTTTATTTGAAGAATTCTTCATCATAGGAGTAGAGTACAATGACATTAAGACCTTGGATTGGAACAAGAGTCCCACCTAATTTATTGCTCCTTAAACACTCTATATGTATTCAGATTAGTCTAAAGAGGAGTGTGATCGTAGAAGAGTCGTCAAGGATTTCTGTTTCCCAGATGGAGTAGAAGTCAAGCGAATCAAAGATAAAGGTCAAAATCTTAATGAAGAAAACAAAGCATAATTCTCTAAAATTCTTTATCAAACTAAAAACCTAAGAGAGTCCTGCTTTATCTTTACTATGAATGCCAGCGAAGATATGTAGTCTGATACATCTCTAACAAAGTCTCGCAATCAGTCTAATGAGTACTAAGAAACTTTTCCAGATGGTGTAACCTCTGAAAAATTCTACAGTTGTTTATGCGTAGTCTTTAACGAGTTGATATCAGACTAGAGCTAGCAACAACCATCTTTTAACGAGACTACTATTGAGAAGAAGTTTATCGAAAGCAAAATATTCTCAGCTAAGAAAGCTTATTGCTTTATGTTTGCTAATCACTATTATCAACTGCACTTAGAGACTATAAATCTGTTGATTAATGTGCTCAAAGATAATTATATTGATCTTTCTAATCGAATTCTAAGCAATGACCTGCTAAGAAATCTCAAAAATTAAACTGAAAAAATCATCAAACTCCAGTTATTGAGAGATATTTTCTCAAACCTATAGTAAAAGTTAATAATTGATGAGATGTACACTATTTTAAACAAATGCTATCTACTTGACCTTGAACTTGTTAATGAGTAAATTATACTAGACTTCTCGTCTTCGATTGGGCAGCTCAAATATGATTTGCCAAATATTACAGAGATTCCCTATCTTGAGCATAACTGGTTCTGTCCCTAGCTGTTTCAACTATTCTCTATTGATATCTTCCTAAGGTTACTATAAGCTATTATGCTTGAGAGATCGGTTATATTTGTTGGAAAAGCTAACTTGATATCCACTGCTATTCTAGGTTTTAACTGTTTGCTATACCCTTTTAGATGGTGTTTTGCTTTTGTGCCCATCCTACCACATCCATTAATAGATATGATAGAGGCCCCAGTGCCATTATTGGTAGGCATTACTAAAAAAGAGTATAAAGATTTAAAGTTAACTGAGGAGGAGAGAAGCCAAAAGATCTGGGTTAATTTAGAGGACGGAAGTGTTTAATGGAACAGCGATGAGGTTGATTTCCCAACATTTGACTTCGAGGGACTTTAAGGTAAAATTAGCAAAGACTATCAAAACTTCATAAGAATCAGACAAAAGCCTACTGATAATAAAAATAGTGGGACTGATAGATAATAGTTTACTCAACCCTCTGACACCTCAGATTATTTAAATGATTATGATAGTGCTAGGAGTTCTTTCGTTTCAGACTTTGCCTTGGTTTTCAATGACAAATAGAAAGAGAAGTGTAAGAACATATGCATGCAGATCCGATACTCAATTAAGAGGTTCGTATTGGGATGTCTGAAGGATATCAGGAAAAATAAGCTTAGCACCAAGTTTGATAATCTGGTATAGTAGATAGGGGACATGGTAGTAAGTTGCAGTAAGGATCAAGACAGAAAGTTCATAGAGCAATTCGTGCAAACTTAGATGTTCACCACGTATATCGAGGATATAATGTGAGGAAAGCAAGTTATAGAGTTACTATAATCTAAACATACATACTAAAACTATTAATGATCTATTAATATTACAAATAATTTCTCATTCTCTCTAATGTTTCAAAATATGTCATAATGGGGTTTTGGGGTTTTGGGGTTTTGGGG